CAGCCACCGTACCCATAAAAACTTCATTCATTAATCTGACGTCACTAGAAACGGGGTATTCTCATTGGCTAGACATGGGGGTATTCTCATTGGCTGGTTCGTGAGAGATGAAAATTTTTCCTCCCTTTAAAAATAATACTTTTCTCTACAAATTATATATATTTTTCTTCTTTAACTCCACCTCCAAAAAAAAAAAAATATTTAATACTTTCCAGAGACACAAGTGACGTATTAACACCCAGAAAGAAAATTAAGTTAAGTGATAAGTGATATGTTTTACCTGTCACGAGGAGAGGTTGGACGACTTATCCCCACACACCACGACTGGGGGGGAAGGAGGGAAGGAGGGAGGGAAGGAAGGAGGGAAGGAGAGAGAGGGAGGGAGAGGGAGGGGAGGTCCATCTGTGTTAACTTTACGTGTGATGAAGTTATCTCCTGCTCCAATTTGTCCACCAGAACGAAATAGACTTCCCTCTTTTCTTCTCCTTTCACACACACTCACACACACACACACACACTCTCTCACACAAACACACACACACACTCACACTCACACAGACACACACACACACACTTTCTCTTCTCTCTTTGTTTTGTTTCCATTCTCCATTACTTAAGACAAATAGCAGCACAAGTTTCTACATTTCTATTTTTGTTTTCCTTTGGGCTATTTTTTCTTTTTTTTTTTACTTACATTATATATCGTGTTTATTATAAGTATTTTATAATTTATTTTTGAAACTGTTTGGTGTTTATTTTTTTATTAAGTCTGTTTATCTTATTCTTTTATTATGTGTTTTTATTCCTTTATACAGGTTATTAGGCTTTTTACATTAATTCATGTTTTTACCTAACATAACCCTGACATAAACCAACGTTTGGTAAATATATCTCTCGTCTCTTCATTTATAAAAACAAGTCTATTTCACTTTATTTATGACCCCGATCTATTTTCTTAGCACATACTAGCAATGTTTTATTTTATACAAGGGTGTAATTACCGTAGCTATTAAGGGGTTATTTATTTAACACAACCCGTCAAGGTAATGTATTTCATGATAAAAAAACTAAACTAAACTTGTCTTAAATATTTTCCTCTCCCCTTTAAACATCTGCCCCCCCACTCGGTCCAGTTCAAGGGGGCCTGCCATGTTTCCACCCCATTAAGCGCCTTACTGCCTCTTCAAATTTGGTCCCTTTAGGATATTCTCCCCTTCATCTGCCACGTTTTCTTTCTCTTTTATCTTCACTAAGCGTTTCCCATTTTCTTTTTCTTTCTTTTTTTTACGATTAAAATAATAATAATAATAATAATAATAATAATAATAATAATAATAATAATAATAATAATAATAATAATAATAATAATAATAATAATAATAATAACAAACGGTTTATTAATAGAGTTGCAGCCGGTGGCTGAAAATATACAGACTTACATTTGATTTAGACATAATGATATAGCCTAGTATGCATTGAATACATTTACAGGGCTGTACAGTACATAAATCAGGAGTTGTTTATTATTTTAACAATAGATGGGATGGTGCTGTTCTTATATCTATCGGTGCGGGCTCTTATGGGCTGAATTTTGTTGTAGTGGCGGACTGCACGAGGTGGGTGGGGGACTGCCGGTGGCAGGAGTTGGCGATGACGAGGGTGGTGCGGTAGTTCATGGCCAAACCTTGCCAGTGCTTGGTGGTGGAGGTCACTGAGGGATGGCATTTCCAGGGTGGAGAGAGCGTTGGTGTAGCCGGAGTATCCTGCGCCGAGCATGATGCTGCAGGCCCTTTTCTGTACCTTCTCTAGCCGACGTTGTTGGGTGGAGTTGAGATAAGACGACCAGGCTGGTGACGCATACGTTAGTTTGGGGAGAATAAAGGCGTTGTAGATGGTCCTCGGCTCTGGCGTGGGTGTCCCAAGTGACCTAAGTCGTCGTAGAATTTAGAACTGATTGATGTTTATTTTGTTTGCTTTTCTATTGTATAAATCGTTTGTTTTTTCCCAATGGAAGTCTATGTTTATGTTGTATTTGTTTATATTTCTTGTGGTTGAATTCCTCTAAAATGATCGTCTTATTTGTTGAATTATTTAAAAACAAAAAACGAAATATTCTTAAATTTCGTCTTTCAACTATTTTTCTTATTTATTTGCTTGTTGTTGTATTTATCAAGTAATATCTCTTCTTATTTCTTCACTAACGCACTTCACTTCTCTACGTTATCCCCCTTACTCTCTCATTTCCCTCCTTTACTGCCTTCTCAACACATCTCGAGCTAAAATAACGATAATACCCGGATATTATCGTAACGCCCCCCCCCCCTCAGTATTCCCTCATTAAAGCGGAAATTCAGCATTAAGTTCAGCGCCTCCTTTACTTGCACAGTCATCCCTCACTACCTCTTACCTCTCCCTGGCGGCCGTAACACATTATAAATACAGGTTATTCTCAGTCTGCCTTCACTGGCACCTCCTGTCACCTCCCAAATGGCACTTCTCTTAAATAGGAATAATTCACCTGTCATATCTGACTAACTTACCTGTAATAATCTAAAACACTCATACCTGTTGTCAATATTACATCATTAACGTGGTAAATAATGTTAATACCTGAAATACCTGAATATATATCGAAAGGTAATCGTAGGTGTGTCAGGTATTGGTATTTGTAATTAAATTTTTTACCTATTCCACCTATATCTTTAATTAGATGTACGGTGGTTGAGTTGATACAAAGTTCACCTATTCAAATGGTCATTGGTTTGAGATATGGTACACCCCCTTACCCCTCTCTCCTTGAAACAGCTATGAATCAACACCTAACTTTACAATTTAGGAAAGTAGAAAGATCAAGTACAGTACCACCTCCACCACCACTACTCAGTATTCAGTATGGCGCACCTGTATGAACCTAACACGATGCCAATTTTACCTTTAACGCCACTAAACCAGATAATGGCATTGGAACCCACCTTTAAGACTCTCCTAAGTTGTTTTCTTTTAAGTCACACCTTCAAGTTTTTTTTTTTATATATCGAGTAATACTTCACCTTCTAGTACTTGAGGTAGACCTTTGTATAACCTCAAGTCACCCTTCATGTTATTGACCTGACCTCTCACCTCACCTGACCTCTCACCTCACCTGGCCTACTAAAGAGGTTGAGTTGTTCCTTCCTGTCTTCAGTGTAATAACTTCCATATGACCAGGTGGTAAATATTTAATGCCTTTCTTCCTCCTACTTCTCCTTCTTCTCTCCTCCTCCTCCTCCTCCTCCCCTCTTTCTCCACCACCTCCACCGTAACTTTATCCCCCACATATTCTCTCCTTAACCACACCATTACATTAACCTCTCCCTTAACCCCCCCCCCCAAGTTAATCCTCTTCGTTTAATATCATGTTTACGTCCATTACCACCATGATGCATCTCCCAGGATATCACGCCGATTATTTAAAGGGAAGAAACACAAATTACACAATAACTCTTGTCCTTATATCATGCCAGAGTCAAAACATGATCTATATAGTTAGATCTCCATATAGCGGACTTCTATATCCATATAATCCGTGAGATAGGGATTTCATATATAACGGACTCTCATATAACGGACTTTCATCTCTATATAAATTGTAAGATGAGGGATTTCACATCTAACGAACTCACAATAAAACGGACCATAAACAACGATAGTCTAAATTATACACAAGAGTTATATAAACTAATTAATTCCCAGGTATCAGTTAATTCCACGAGTAATTAATTCTTAGGCAGGTGCGTATTAATTCAATGGTCAATTAATTAATCCTTAAGCAAGTGCCGGGTTATTGTATTAATTTGAAATAGTCTGGTGATGAAAAGTAAAACGATCCAACAGTGACCAGGTAATGGATTAAATTGGATTAATCAACTGAACCTGAATGGATGACACACCTGGATTTTCTCGACTTTGTGACTTTTTCATACGTGGATATTTTTTTAATAGACGAATTCCTGTTGTCCCATAAATAAAAAAAAATGGCGTGAATAGTTTTGAAATAATGTAAAATAATCAAAATTAGATAGTTAGAAAATAAGTAGTGGGATAATTTGTTGTAGTGAGGTAGTTAAGTGATTATGTGGTCCTGGTGGGGGGTTGGGATGGGGGTAGGGGAATGGGGGGGGGGGTTAGAGGGGGAGGAATCAGTCCGTATGTACAGATTTGTCACAGCCAAATCGTCAAATGTCCGCCCAGAATTTTTCTACCTACAGGAGCTTCCGTCATTTTGTCATAGGGACACCTCACTCCTGACGGTGAAACACCCTCTCTCCCTCCACCTACCCAACCCACCCACCCACCCACTATATTTCAATGGGCGTGGGATGGGCGTGGAATAGGTGTGAATTGAATCAATTTCATCGCTGCACCGAATGTTTCAATAAGGGTAAAGGAAAAAAAAGTTGTAAGGTTGAATACTGGGTGACGACAATCAAACTAAAACAGTATTGGAACCCGGGTCTAGCACATGTGACGTGTACACTAAGGCTCTACATCATAATTCCTATTTACGTTATCTTGCCTTTAACTACTGACAGAAGCCATTACAAAAAAACATTATTCGGTAAAGATTAAAAATAGAATTAAATACGAGAATATATGACCCAATATCATATTACAAGAGACACACTTACACATTGACTTGAGTGTGTCCGTTCGTATCTCAAGACCCAATTATGTTCGCAGAAATAGGAGGAAAAATATTGACCTTAAAATTACTTAATAAAAAAAGTATTCAGATTAAGATTTAGGTCAGGTCAGGTTAGGTTAGGTTAGGTATATTGATGGTGGTAATTTTAACACCTTACACTAATATAACACAAGATAACACAGAATACAACACCAGTCGAAGCACATAGCAACAACTATCACACACATTAACCAAAAATAACAAAAAAAACAACACCATGATAACATTTCCATCACACTAATATAATATCAAGATAACAAACACAAAAATAACTCACAGTTCATGATAGCGGTGACGGTGGCGTGGACAGGTGAGGTGACGTTGTTATTAGTGGCGACACAAGTAAGCCGGGCATTGTGGAAGGAACGGGACAGGTGCTTGATGGTCAGCTCGTTCACCGTCATCGAAGAGGTCCGGGATTCCACCTTTGAGTCCAGTTCCTAGGATGAGGCGTGAGATGTGTTTTGGATTATTATATGTTTAGAGACAGACAGACAGACAGACAGACGGACAGACACAGACAGACAGAGAAAGAATGAAGGTAAGAGAGAGAGAGAGAGAGTAATAGATATTGGAGAAACGGAGGAAATATAAAACTGATTGAAGGTGACAGACAAAAGAGAGAAAGATTGCATATAAGAGAGAAAGAGAGAGAGAGAGAGAGAGAGAGAGAGAGAGAGAGAAGGGGGGGGGGTACAACACAAGGTAAATAATGGCACTTGTAAGTGACATGATGGCACCTGGCACTCTCGAGGTCTTCAAATGACCAATCAGAGGTAGTGTCTTAAAAGGGTCAATCAAAGGTACATTCTTAGGGCCAGTATCATTAACGAAGCTACGAGTCGGCCTTAACAGACCAGATTAGGTTAGGTTAGGTTAGGACAATTAACTCATATTGGAGACTAAACCAAACAAAATTATTTACCTGGGAGTTTATTGTCTCATTAAGGTGTGTAAGAGGAACCTTCCAGCAGTGGGCCCGAAGGAATAAACCTTTTCCAATACAGACAGAGACAGACAGACAGACAGAGACAGACAGACAGACAGAAGTAAAGGAATCCCTCCACTGTACTGTCCAGGTGTAATCTAATCATTGTACTTTGTATTGTTCTGCCAAACTTTGTTAAACCAATTTAGACTCCTAGAAACTGGGCAGGTCTCCACCACTGACGAGTTTAAATGAGTTACCTGACGTGGTGAGTTGGATGACCACGGCAGGAACATACCCAGGGTGGAGGCCAACCTTTAACTGCTGCCACAACTGGGTTCTTCTAAAACTGACTGTCTGGTGTAGTGGTTAGGTCTGACTGTTGTGAAAAACTGACTGTCTGATGTCATTCTTAAATCTGACTGTCGAGCAAAACTGACTGTCTGGTGTCATTCTTAAATCTGACTGTCGAGCAAAACTGACTATGGTGTTATTGCTCGGCCTGACTGGCATAAAAAACTGACTGTCTAAACTTATCCTTATGCCACAGTCATATTCCCCCATAACACCTCTGAACTCATAGTCCATAAATCATTCTCTCATTACAGATAAAATTACAAAAAGCACAAACTTCTTTTTTCTCATGTTAAGAAAATTCTACCACGTCTTGACAGCCTTAATAAATTCTCCTCAATCCTCTGCCTCCTACAGAAATCCTTTACTTACAACTTCAGTAATAACTTTAATCCCTGGTTAGTGTTCCAAGAATTCCTACAGCTGATCGTAGTTCTTGAGAGATAATTGTGGAATGGAGTTTGGAAGTTATGTGCTGATGTGTAGCTCTTAGTTTATAATAAGATCACTGTATATTGCTGCTGTTACTTCCTGACCTGACCTGACCTAATGATACTTTACCTTACCTAAATTAACCTATTCTAAACTATCCTAACCCTAACCTAATTTAGCTTAACTTAACCTACTAAACTGACCTAACCCTAAACTTACTTAACCTAATCTAACTTACTTTAATACAACCTTCCCTAACCTAACTTAAACTAATCTAAACGTAACCCAACTTAAATTAACTTGACCTGACTTGACCCCTATCTAACCCCGAGAGCTGAGCATGACGCCAGGCGGTGAGTAATAACATCAAGAATCTGATGTACGATTTTTCATCTCAGGAAGGATGAGACTTAGCATCCGACAGAGAACAGCTGTTATGATTTACAGTCCGAGGCCGGATATATATATTGGTTGCCTGCATTGTAAACCGGCTGTATGTAGAACCGGCCAGCACGAGACTAATGAACTTGAGACGGCTTGTGGCATTAACCCTTTATGGATAATGCTTCAGCATCTACTGGGGGATCTTTCATTTGCTCAAGGATAAAGCATATTTTTTTTTTAGGACCAGTATAATGATTTAACCCTTAAAAGGTTAAATCACCATCCTCAAAGGGTTAAAACATCGTCCTCAAAGGGTTAAATCATTATCCTCAAAGGGTTAAATCATCGTCATCAAAGGGTTAAATCATCATCCTCAAAGGGTTAAAACATCGTCCTCAAAGGGTTAAATCATTATCCTCAAAGGGTTAAATCATCATCCTCAAAGGGTTAAATCATCGCCATCAAAGGGTTAAATCATTATCCTCATCGCCATCAAAGGGGTAAATCATTATCCTCAAAGGGTTAAAACATCGTCCTCAAAGGGTTAAATCATTATCCTCAAAGGGTTAAATCATTATCCTCAAAGGGTTAAATCATCGCCATCAAAGGGTTAAATCATTATCCTCATCGCCATCAAAGGGTTAAATCATTATCCTCAAAGGGTTAAAACATCGTCCTCAAAGGGTAAAATCATCGTCATCAAAGGGTTAAAACATCGTCCTCAAAGGGTTAAATCATTATCCTCAAAGGGTTAAATCATCGTCATCAAAGGGTTAATCATCATCATCCTCAAAGGTTAAAACATCGTCCTCAAAGGGTTAAATCATTATCCTCAAAGGGTTAAATCACATCGTCCTCAAAGGGTAGGTTAAAACATCGTCCTCAAAGGGTAAAATCATCGTCATCAAAGGGTTAAATCATCGCCATCAAAGGGTTAAATCATTATCCTCAAAGGGTTAAAACATCGTCCTCAAAGGTTAAAACATCGTCCTCAAAGGGTAAAATCATCGTCCTCAATGGGTTAAATCATCGTCCTCAAAGGGTTAAATCATCGCCATCAAAGGGTTAAATCATCGCCATCAAAGGGTTAAATCATTATCCTCAAAGGGTTAAATCATCGTCCTCAATGGGTTAAATCATCGTCCTCAAAGGGTTAAATCATCGTCCTCAAAGGGTTAAATCATCGCCATCAAAGGGTTAAAACGGGTTTATATTTTGCTGATACAAATATCTATACTGATGCATTACGTGATAATAAAAACACTATCGACAATCAAATGTTATTGTTAGTTTCAATATATAGAGTGATTGCTTGTTTGATATATGTGATTTATTTTAGCCGAGTCGTAATTGTCGTTATTGTCATTCATTTCACACCGAGTTATTGCACACTTGTTACTATGACCACCACCACAACTACCACCAACACCACAACTACCTGGGACCCCAATACCATATACCTCTACTGTTACTTTAACCATTTATTACTCAGGTAAATTTATCTATTAATCAACAACAATTAGTTTCTTTTTTTTTTGTCTTTAAGTACAGAGTCATCAATTTCTCTCTGTTACACCTGGGAGTCTTAATTAATTCCTTCTGTATAGTCAAGCCATCAATTCCACCGTGAGATCTTATAAGTTATACAGATAGACCTCATACCCCCGGGAGATGATTCTAATTTCTGTTTTAATCGCTGCAATACATCACAGTCTGATGGAACACAAGATCTCGGTGTCTTGATGTTTTGTATTTCTTAAACATAATTGTTCTCGGTGCAGGTAACCAACAGGTGGCTAAGAGAGGATAGTTTATTTATTTTTTCGTCAGTCCCGAAATCAAGGCTAAGTGGAGCTGGTATTCGGTTTACACACTCTTCCTAAATGACTTAACCACAACTTGTGTTCGTTCTAATTCTTCCTAAACACTCTAAGACTCTCCAACACCTGGCCCAAGCTTTTTAACTAGTCCTAAACTTTTCCCCTTGTACCAAATAAAAGTTTCTTGGGATGTATTTAAGTCAAGTGGAGCGGTGGACGATGTCTCTCTGACCCACGCCAACATCTGCCCAGGTCTCGGGAGGGTCGTGGGGCTCAGACACAACACCTGCTAAATTAATCATGTCTCTTCCAGGTGAATGGCAGGAATATCCTTCACCTGTTCAACTTACTTCACATAACAATAATCCCACACCTGTAGTCTCCCCCCGTCACTCCTTTATGCAGTTCACGTCATCTTCACTACCCTTTAATCACTCACTAATCCACAAAACTCCTCAATCTCGGCCCAGAACAGTCAGTCAGTCTTACCTTATTGTGTTTCTTCCACACGAGGGTGGGAGGAGGGATGCCACCAGCCACGCTGCAGGTGACGGACAGGGAGTTACCCTCCTGCAGTGGACCCAACACTCCTCCTGTGATCTTCTGCCCCGCCACCCTCAGTTCTGGCTGGCCTGGGGGCACCACCACCCTCAGGCTCAGATGTGTACGACGGGAAGAAGCTGCGGGAGGAAAATATACTGTTGAAGAATTGCTCACCAATGGAAAAATTGTATTTATTTTCATGTCCTGTATTAGTTAACTTATTTTATAATCATACAACACAAAAGTTTACACACTGATTGCATCTACCTGGGATACCTGTATAACTGACTCTACCTTTATTTATGAACCTAAGGCCTTCCCTATCAGAGAACACACCTGTCTGTACACCTGGGGGAGTGAGCTAGGAGGATGACTTACAGTACACTCTTCTGTAGTACATTAGTGACGGGCTGTACAGTAATGGTTGTTTGTTGTACAGATGATGGAGATAAAACTGTCATGTTGATAAAGATAAGACAAGGAAAAGAGTAGATAAACAGAGAGAGAGAGAGAGAAAAAGAGAGAGAGAGAGAGAGAGAGAGAGAGAGAGAGAGAGAGAGAGAGAGAGAGAGAGACACAGACAGACAGAACGAAAAAGAAAAAGAGGTAACACACGAAAAGCATCACACACACACACACACACACAATAAGAACCACCCCCAGGACAGGTAGCAATAAATTATTCAAGAGTTCAATATCCATCACAAATGAGAAGATGCAGCGACTGTGAACAAAGAAGAGAGAGATGCTGTATTAAATGGCCAACACACGAGAGAGGAATTACCATTGTATGAAGAGGGACGACGACGTAAACAGAGTGGAAATTTTATCGCCTGACATACACTCAATAGGGATGTAAACGAATAGGGAACTAAGGAATTAATAGGATACGAGAAATAGATTAAACGACGGAAGGAGAGAAGATTGTGAATAGGCAGAGAGAGAGACTAACTGAAGGAAATAACTAAGTGTGAAATGAAAGTGAGAGAGAGAGAGACAGACAGAAACAGAGAGAGAGACAGAGAGGAATATTAGAAAGAAACAGACAGACAGATAAATAACACCAACCTCACCCACTAACCTAATTTTTGCAAGTCATCATTACTGTGCACATTTTGATACAACTATACCCAACTTATTATTAACCAAAGAAAGAACTAAAAAAATCACACGTAGCATCTGGGGTGAGGGAATGAAGTGACCCTTTGTGTGTGTTTGTCTGGTAATGTCTGACCCCTTGTGGCATTATGTAAATATATTCTCCAACTTGATTGAGCAATGGGAATGACTTAATACATTCCACAAGATGATAAATCTATTTAGACATGTACAATGGAGTTAATGAAGGATATAAAGGGGGGGGAAAATAAGGTTGGATTATACATTGAGGTTAGTTTAGGTCAGGTTAGGTTAGGTTAGGTTAGGTTAGGTCAGGTTAGGGTTAAGTGACACAAGGCGGGAGGTGAACTGTGCCAGCCTGGATAATATGGACATTAAGGGAGACTTGGAGTAATGGGAGCAATATCTTCATACATGAGCCGATCTGAAGCTCTGAATTAATTACATATGACGTTGACATGTTCGTTAAACCTCCTGCTGGTGAACTTGGTGAGGACTACTGTTACCGAGTGTTGAACATTTGTGAACAGATATATAGTTTATCTTTTGTTGAGTTGGTAATGATGGTGTTGGGTTGGGATAGGATAGGGTAGGATAGTCTTCAAGTTAGGTCAGGTCAGGTTAGGTGAGGTCAGGTTAGCCACACTGGCGTCGGAAGGGAGGTATAGTGAAGCCATTGTCTGGGTGAAGGAGTGGAGAAGCCAGTGGGAGCTTGATTAAGTTAGGTCCCATTCCTGTGACAAACCTGTATCGTGGGTCACTGTGATAAACCAACGGGGGATTAAACAAGGGACTTGACACGTCCAGCTTAATGGTGGAAACCCGTATTGAGTAGAGACGGGAACCTTCCATTGTGACTATGTGACTGTAAAGGGAAGAGGAAGGAGGGAGGGAGGGAGAAAAGGAGAAGGAAGGGAGGGAGGGAGGGAGAAGAGGGAAGGAGAATGAGAAGGAAAGAGAGGGAGGGTAGGTGGAAGAGGGAGGGAGGAGAATGAAAGAGTGAGAAGGGAAGGAGGTAGGGAGCAGTATGTATAGTGTGTCAGGAGAAACAGATGCGGTACAGTGCAGTATGTACAGAGGCACAGTATAGGTGGTTATTAGAGAGATTGGTATTCAAGTCCCACGAGCGGCTGACACTCTCCCACTAGCGGCTGACACTCTCCCACTAGCGGCTGACACTCTCCCACTAGCGGCTGACACTCTCCCACTAGCATGTGTCCGGCAGACCTGAGTCATTATCGTGCCTGAGTTCCTGAGACAACTGTTAGGACGCCCCGAGATCCTGCGGTCATCTGTCTGTCCTTGGAGAAACATCCTACTGACTCTACTGTGTGTGTGTGTGTGTGTGTGTGTGTGTGTGTGTGTGTTAGGCCGCGCTAGTCAGGCCGCACCTCGATTATGCGGTTCAGTTCTGGTGCCCCTATTATAGAATGGATTTAAATTCACTAGAGTCGGTGCAGCGAAGAATGACAAAAATGATTCCGGGACTTAGAAACCTTCCATATCAGGATAGGTTAAAGAAACTTAACTTGCATTCCCTAGAAAGACAGAGTGCGGGGAGATATGATAGAAGTATTTAAGTGGGTGAAAGGAATCAATAAAGGGATATAGATAAAGTTCTTATAATATCCGAGCAGGATAGGACTCGGAGCAACGGATTCAAGTTGGATAAGTTTAGGTTTAGGAGGGAGATAGGAAGGAACTGGTTCACAAATACGGTGGTGGACGAGTGGAACAAGATTAGCAACTTTGTAGTAAGTGCGGGAACTCTGGAAAGTTTCAAAAGGAGGCTAGATAGATTCATGGATGATAGAGAGTGGTAGTAACTCTCGACAGGAGCTGCCATGCACAGGCCAACCGGCCTATTGCAGACTCCTTATTTTCTTATGTTCTTATGTTCTTATGTGTGTGTGTGTGTCAGACCTATCTCTCCCCCCACCACCCACATACTGAAGGTCACGACACACACAAACACGACACATTTCCACAAAAAAAAACTCCAAATGACCATTTCAGTGACTCAAAGTGCACATTAACATATGAACAAAAAGGGTGAGAGAGAGAGATTTTACTCCACCCATTAATGCACACGATGATCAAAAAAAAATAAAAAAAAATAAGAAAAAAATAAATGATCCTCTACACCGACCAATATTGCTTTTCATGGGTTTAATCATTGAAAGTAAAAAAAAAGCTACATTTTATCCGGATTCCGCTTGGTGCAGAAATCTCTTTTCTTGTTTTTTCCGGAAATGAGAAATAGGTTCCATGTGCCTTTGACTGTTAAAAGTTTCCCTCTGTAAAAAAAAAATAGGAAAAAATGAAAAGGTGTTTCGTATTCACCTGTACATTACATGCCCTAAGTTACCGTGGCCAGCATCCATCTAGCTCACCTGTAATCAAGATAAAAGCACACCTTGTTCACCGGCTTGTAGCGGCTCTTAATGTATAAGGTTTGATCAGTTTTTGGACAAGGATAGAGAGAAAGAGAGAGAAAATGAGAGAGAAATGAGCTGGACAAGGATAGAGAGAAAGAGAGAGAAAATGAGAGAGAAATGAGCTGAGGTAGGATGAAGGGAGAGGGAAGGAGAGAGGGGGGGATGAAAAAAGAGGGAGAGAGAGAGGAAAAAAGGGGGAGGGAGGGAGAAAAAGAGAGTGGGTGAGAGGGAGAGGGAGAGAAAGGAAGGGAGGCAGATTAAAAAGAAAACTCATATAATATTTAAAACCCTCAATCAACAGACCCAAGGAAAAGTCAAGGTATCAAATTACACCTTCGAATAATTACAAAATGAAAAGACGTTTAATTACACTAAGTCAAGCAATCTGGGAGAATAAAAGAAAAACAATAATTCACAAAAAATAATCCAACATGATATTAAGGAAAGACGAAGGAGAATTATAAGAATTTTTATTTTTTTTGGGTGTAATGGTTGAGGGAAATACGACAACAGAGAGTGAAGGTTCAGCGGAAGAACACCTGGTAGTAATACGTGGTTGGTCGTTCCTCAGTTTTAAGAGAGAGAGAGAGAGAGAGAGAGAGAGAGAGAGAAATTACATCAAATTTATCCACCCACCGATTTTTGCAAGTCATCATTACTCTGCACATTTTCATACTAAGAAATATTTCATCTTATTCCTCATTGTTTTGAGAATTTGTGTATCCCTGTGTGTGTGAGAGAGGACCAGGTGGTTGAGTTTGTATGGATCGTCTCACTCTAATCTCTGCAACTGCTGCTGGTAATTGCCTCTGAAGATTACGAAGACCCAGGCAGTATTACTCACAGGTGTGTGTGGGGGGGGGGAGGGGGTAGGGGGGGCCTTAGGAGGAAGGAGGAGAAGGTCAAAGTGAAGGGTGAGGTAGATCATGAGAAGCAATGGATAAAAAGTTGATCGATTTAGAGGTATTTTAATGAGCAATGGGTCTGGTGTCTTGACTATGGTTAGGTTATGTCTCCCCCCATCTCTCTCTCTCTCTCTCAGTTCTACCTGGCTGTGTTGGCTACTATGACTACAAAAGCTTTCATCTACCTGTAATCAACGTTGAAGGTCCCATACAGGTGATTTAAGATGAATGGGGTGATGGGGTGGGGAATGGGGATGGTGGGGGATAGATGGAAGGGGATGGATGGAGTGGGTAGGAGGTGGGTAATGACATCATACGCCCGCCAGGAAGTCACAGGTCACCCACAAGCCTCAAGGATCACATCTGCCAGACGTCAAAGTACTGCCAGAAGACCCAAACTGTCGTACTGCCATGAACCATCCGAGAGAGAGAGAGAGAGGGAGAGAGGGAGGGGTTGGGGGGGGGATTGGGACGCGATTATATCCACACTACATATATAAACACACTCCCTATATATATATGAAAAAAAGTTATAAAACCCGATTAACTAGACGAAAGATAACAACAAAAGCACACGTGTTAAATATCATGTACGGGATTAATTTTACGGTTGGGTGTGTTAATCTGGCTGTATGTGTGGGAGGATTTTAACGAACTCGACAGATTTATGCACCC